TTTTTTGGATTTGACGATAAGCCTTATTTACCCGAATCCTCGAGGAATTGATTGCTCCCGATAAGAGGTACCATTTCGAGGAAGTATGTCCGAATAACGCGGCTTCTCATTGAGAGGTTCCGTTTCAATTGACTGCAATAAACCATTTTAAATGATAAAAATAAGTGGATATGTAGTCCAAGTAAAAAACGAACCGATGGCGGGCCAAACTTTTGCCTACTAAATGATGTAGATCGGCTATTGCCATTACCGTAAACTCCACGTTGCTCTTCTCTTTTTTGCTGCTTAACGCACCAGCAACAGAGAAAAATGAAGATTATTGCCTGTGAAGATTCAACCATTGAGAATTTGCCTAGATGAAGCTGTACACGTGGAAAAGGGTGCAATTCTCACCATGATTATAGCAATTGTTCCCAAGATTGCACTCAACCAAATCAGGAAGTTCTCTTTTTCTCTTGACCTGCACCATGGTTGCTCCCCTTTGTTCCACTCAAAACGATACTCATTCGGTCGATTGTAGTCCACAACGATTCCACCTATACGGAAATGTTCCATAAAGAATTGGTTGCATTAATGGTAAGCAACTTACATTTGTACTCATGAACTCCTTTGATCCAATGCGACTGAACACATTCGAACCTAGCAACGTCCCCTTGCATATATGCAGAATACATCGATGACGTTTTAATGAGATATTCCGGATATTCTATGTTAATGGGTCCACAGCTGTTGTCTGGAATAATGCTGCTTAATTGTTTGGAAGATGACAAGCAAAAGCAAGCGCAAACGCTGATTTTCAATACAGTTGATCTACAATACCGCTCATAACTTTTCCAAAAAAGTTTCACATAGCGTTAATTTCTTTTAAAATAGATATCTTTGAAAGGAAAAAAGGTGTTAGACTCAACTTGTCAAGACAATCCTCAAGGTATGCCATCCAGGAACACCTAAGGTGTATAATAAATATGGTAAAAAACAACATGGCGAATCCGTCTGAAACTTTGCGTAAGGTTGTTATATAACTCCCTCACGCAAAGTTTAAGGCGGAGTCGCGATATGACCTCTCACTGAATCTACCGTACATCTCAGATGTTGCTGTAATGTGGCATACCTTAGGACTCGTCTGGATGAGCTGAGTCTAACACTGCTTAGTCTTCTGAGGAATATCTATTTTGAAAGAACTTATGACGACGCGACGCTTGTGGCAGATTTTTATGTAAAATCATGTTTTCCTTGCAAAATTATGAGCGGTATTGCACTAATTTGTATTGCAGTTTTTCAAACAAAAAGTGAGGGCGAAAACTTTTGCAATGTGTTATGGATCATTCAGAAACGCTGATCTCGCTCTGCAGTAGAGTAGGCTTTATTTTCCCAGTCAATTCTTTGAATAGTTGATGTCGCTGATA